GAGTAACCAAAGAATTTATGTGCATATATACACAACCCAAGGACATGGACAATGGTGGGGAGAGGGACTGGGGAGGAGGAAGGAACAGGGTGGAACGGGTCATTGGGGAGAAAAAGGGACATCTGTAATATTTTAAACAATAATAAAATTAAAAAGAAAAAAAAAAACCCTTTAACATTTCATGGAAAAAAAATGTTTTCAGTTTTGGGTAGATACTCAGAAGAGGGCTTGCTGGGTCATATGGTATAAAACCTGTTTTTTAAGAAAAGCATTTGACACTTCACTATTTAGCAGGTGAGGAAAGTTCTTTCTTTTGCTTTCCAGTAGGTGAAGTGCAAGTTTTCATTTTCTCTTATTGCCCTGCTAAGGCTTCTGGGGTCTGTGTGGGGCCTGTTGCCTTGGCTGTTAAATATGCCCCCATATTCCCTGAGGAGATGGGCATCCCTTCTGTGACCAGGTCACCTCAGTCTCAGGGCAGCACCCCTGTGGAGAAATGTGGTGGGTAATGGGTTTCTGGCCCAGTGTTGCCTCTTGCAACTAGATGCCATATACACATACATACATACATACATACATACATACAGGTCTTTTTTTTTTTTTTAATCCATTCAGCCACACTTTGTGTTTTGATTGGGCATTTAGTCTATTCACATATGAAATAACTATTTACAGGCATGTAGTTATTGCCATTTTGTTAACTGTTTTTCTAGTTGTTTTTTGTAGTTCTCTGTTCCTTTCTTATTCTCTTGTTCTTGTCTCTTGTATGTTGATGATATTCTGTTGTGTTGTGTTTGTATTCCCTTCTCTTTATTTCTTGCTTATTTCTTGTCGATATTTGGTTTGTGGTTACCATGTGCTTCATATATATACCAAGCTGTGTTTATAGCAATATACTTTAAGTTGATGGTTGCTTAACTTCTAATGCATTCTAAAATCACTACAATTTTTCTCCCCTGGGTTAATGTTTTTGTCATAACACGCTTAAACTATTGTTGTAATTATACATGAAACTCCTACTTTTGCATTTTAACCTTTGTATTAACTTTATAGTTGGTGGATGTATATTGAGCATCCTTATAACCAATGTTTTAAACTCTGTATCTGATTGCTTGTCTTCATTTTGTTTATTTTTTTTCTGGAGTTTTGTCTTGTTCTTTCATTTAGGACATGTATCTTTGTTTCCTCATTTTGGCTGCCTCCCTGTGCTTGTTTCCATGTACTAGGCAGAGATGTTATATCTCTCAGTCTTTGCAGAGTGGTCTTATGTAGCAGGTATCCTTTGAGACCCAGTGGTGCAATCTCCCTTTTCACCTGAGCCAGGTGATGCAGTGGTGTCCCTTGTGTGGGTTGTGTGCACCCTCCTATTGTAGTTGAGCCTTGATTGCTGTTGGCATGTCTGTGGGTGGGATTGAACCTCATGTTAACTGGCTGTGAGGGCTAGATGTAGATGAGCTGTTGTGTGGGGCCTGAACCCATGGAGTGGGGGTCACTTTAGTGGGGCTTTGGTACCAGCTGAGTCTGCCCTTCAGGTGTGTGATTTGTGGAATTGGTTGGGTGGTGCTCTGGTGTGGTCTGAAGTCAGCCAGAAAGTGTGTTGGTTCTAGAGCTTCTTAGGAGGAACTCTGGTAGAGGTAGAGTTCAGGTGCCATTTGTACCTCATTGGGGGTTACCTGGTGGGACCTACAAAGTCATTTGCAGTTGGTAGTTGCCTGTGCTGGGCTTGGAGGCACTTAGGAGAGGCTATGCTGTGAGCTGAGGGTGGCTGCCACTAGTACTGGGTTTGTGTCCATTTGGTGGGCACCACGATGGGAACTAAGGTCAGCCTCCACTTGTGCCAGGCTTGTAGCCACTTACTTGAAGCTACATTCCAAGCCATCACTGACTTCAGCTTATGCCAGGCTTGGGGCCTTCCGATGAGAGTTACAATGCAAACTGAGACCAGTCACCATTTGTAGTAGGATTGGGGCTGCTTAGCAAGAGGTGCAGGGAATGCTGAGGCCAGCCACTGCTTGCTTGGGATTTGTGGACCTTTGAGAGATTTTAGGAAAGTCCACAGTGGGAGCTGAGGCAGGCTGTACCTGTGGAAAAGTTGCTGGAAGTGGCTCAGGCTGAACAGGCAAGGTGGATGGGGCAGGGTTTCAGGGAATCACCAGGGCGGGAAGAATGGTGCTAGCCAGGTTAATGGAGAACTGAGGTTTGGTGCCTGCCTGCACCTGCTGGGTGGGATGAGTGCTTAACACAGGAGCAATGGTGCCTGCCAGCACTTCCATCCCTGAAGAGAGCTGCCCTGACCTCTGCAACTCTCCATATGTCCCTGGTACTTTCTGAGATGCTGCCCCTGCACTGAAGCCCAGAGCAAGGGTGTTTGTAAACGATCAAGTCTATGCGTGGCCTCTCAAGTGGAACACCTGGGACTCCAGCAGCCCTCCATCTCATTTGGATGGAATCTCCACTGGCTTTCACAGCCAGATGTTATGGGGACTCCTCTTCTCAGCTCTGGTGCCCTGGGCTGGGGAGTCTGGATCCCTTGATCCTCAAAGGGGACCTCCGCAGCCAAGATATCCTTCCTGATTCTTAATTGTGGCACTGGGTGTGGGTCCTGCCCATTCAGTGTCTCTGTCCCTCCCACCAGTCTTATCACAGGCTTCTTTATATCTTTATTTATAGGACTTCTGTTCAGCTAGTCTTCAGGTGGTTCTGTAATTTAGTTGGAATTTTCATGTGGCTGTGGGAGGAGACAAGCACAGCATTTACCTACTTCTCCATCTTCACTGGAATTAGGAGAGCATCTGCCACAGAACAGGTTTTCTTAGGGATTGTTTACATTCAATATTATTTTGTATTGGTTTCAGCATAGTGCTTAGGCAATCATACTTCAAGAACCTGATATGTCAAGTACCCACTTGGCACCATACATAGTTATTACAATATTAATGACTATATTCTCTATGCTGTACTTTATATCCCCATGACTATTTTGTAACTACCAATTTGTGCTTCTTCTCTTTTTTAAAATTTATTTTATTGTTGAAAGTATTACAGATGTCCCCTGTTTTCCCCCCTTTGCCCCCTTCCACCCATCTCCCACCCCACTCCAAGCCTTCACCTGTCTATTGTCTGTCCATGGGCTATGCATATGTGCTTATAAGTCTTTGGTCAATCTTTTCCCGCCCTCCTTCCTGCCTTCCTTCTGAGATCTGTCAGTCTGTTTCATGTTTCCACGTCTGTGGTCCTATCTTGTTTGTCAATTTATTTTGTTCCTTAGATTCCACATTTTCACCCAGTCCCTCAATCCCCATCTCCACTGGCAACCATCAGTCTGTTCTCTGTATCTGTGAGTCTGTTTCTGTTTTGTCTGTTCATTTATATTGTTCTTTAGATTCCTTTGTTGTCTGTGCAATTGTCATTTTCAGGTTGCTGGCCTCTCCAGTACTCAATGCAGGATACACAAGGCAACAAAGAAAACCCAGAGACCTCACCACATTGTCATTCTTTAGATTCTGAGGTCCTTAGTGTCTTCTTGTCTGCTTTTCAACATCTTGTTATGTTTGTTTTATAAAAATGTCTTCCTCTACTTAGCAGGAGGAATAGAAAGAAATGCACCTACTGTATCTCATATAGAATTAGAAGTTTTCTTGTGGTTATATTTTAAGAGATTCCTTGTCTTTTAGAAATAATACTAAAATATTTAGGAATAAAATGATAAAATGTCTGATATTTTCTTCAAAATAATTCAGGGGGATGAGAGGGTGAGAAGAATATAAATGTGAAAAGATTAACATGTATTCATAATTGTTCAGGTTGAGTCATGGGCCCAATAGTGTTCATTATACTATTCTCTCTACTTTTATGTAAGTTTGAACATTTCTAGCATAAAAAGAAAGAAAAAAAATGTTACTGTCCCTCCTCTGTGGAGGATGGGCTTGAGGAGAACAAGATGGAAATAAGAAGACATGTTAGGAAGCTGTAACAATAGTCCTGGTGAGAGACAAAGGCTTGAATGAAGGCAGTAATATCAGAAATGCGGAAGATAAATATTTAAAGGTAAAACTGGACACACTTGGTGATTAACTGGATATGGGGAGAAGCTTGATTATTAAGTAGGTGTTGGTTCCAACAACAGAGATGGAGAATTTCAGAGTCTGACTCCACCTTGGATGCTTGACTGCTGACAGCTTTCAAGTCCCGCTACTCCTCTTTCCCTTCCCACCTACATCTGGGCAAGCTGATAAGAAAGTTTGAGTGTTCCCTCCTTTGGGGACTCTCATCTCAGTCTCAGTCTCACCTCCTAATCATAATACAATCCCAAATCCAGCTTCCTTTCCCTGCTCGCTCAAGCTTTTTGTGGGGACCAACTCAGGAACTTGTTCTGCTCTTCCATAGAAAGTCTCATTATGTGAGGAATACTTTCCACACCCTTTTGGTAATGTGTGTGGCATCATCAGTCTCAACATCCAAACCAAATTTTGGGGGGTGTCCATTCTACCTCCTTGGTATGAAGAAATGTAAAAGAACAGGTTATTTTTGTGGGGGGAGTGTAGGGGACAGGAGAGTGGAGTTCAATTTGAGCCTACTGAGTGTGAGGTATCTAGATATAATATACCTAACAGAGTGCTTGGCACATAGCAAACACTCAAAAATGCTAGTTTCTTTTTCATGTAAGCCTCCATTTATCTTACTCCTTTTGAGTTAAGAATATATTTATCTGTAGATTTTACCAAATAATGAAAGCTTAAAATAACCATAATAATGATTATAATAGTTGTGTTATTGGTCACTATGTATAAGATATTGTATTAGAGACTTTGCAGATATTATATCTTGTTTAATCTTTACAATGAGGTAGGTATAATCCAACTTTTATAAATGAAGACAAATTACAGGTTGCAAAACTGTATTCAAATCCAGATCAGTGAGACTCCAAAGCTATGCTATATTTATTATACTATTCTTCCTCTCCATATGGACATTAAAGTAGATTGATAATATCCACTACTTACTTCATAGTATACAGCATGTAGAGGATATCAGCTTGCTCCTGGAAGCTGGAGGTCTCCTTTAACTGTAAAACCAGTGCTTTGAAGTCCACTTCCCCAGACTGGTCTCTAGGAAGATGTATTTCTACATGAACCAAGGGAACCTTTAATTTGAAAAAGAATAAAAAAATTAAGTCCACAGTGCTCAACTTAAATAATGCCTTACAGTGTTGATCTTTTGATTTCTAAACTTTTTCCATAAGAATTTGTTACATTTTAATGAAAAGTAAACCAAAAACAATGAAACCTTCAAGATGTATGATACAGCAATCTAGATTTCATAAAGCCTGGCTAGAAAAACTTGCCCATTTTAAAAGTGAACTGAAAAGGTCATGCCTCTTCACCAGGGTAGCAGTTTGCCTACCACCAGTTAGTAGCAGAAACCATAATGGCTAGTTCTATTATTTTCCATAAGGATGGCAGTTTTGCAAAAAGCTGATAGAAATACCTCATGTGCAAGTTTACCTGATCCTCTTGTGGGGGCTGGGGTGAATCAAGTAAGTTGAATGAAGGCCGGGAAGCCTGAACTATCTTTACAGGAAGATACATGTGAACATCTGCAAAAGGTTGACATTATGATAAAGGTTAGATAATCAAGAGACTAACAAAAATGGAACAGTTGATCTCAACAACGAAGTTATATATGTTTGGTTATTTAAAGAAGTTTATCTTTTCTGGGTAATATCAAAGAAAAGAAATATAAATATCAAAAAATAATTTAAAGAATGTTCAATCAATCAAAAGACATTTTTTGAATGATGCATAGGATGGTAGCATCAGCTGATATTAAAGTCTAAAAATGTAACCAATACCGCAATGGTACTATCACTGATGCTCTGATAGAATACCATGTATTACAGAAAGAACCCAGTTATGTTTTATATTTTCTGGAATTCCCTCGGAGAATATCTGGCTGCTCACAGTTAGATTTTCTTGAGAATAGATAAGTGGATGATCCTATCTAGGGAATCAAAAAATGTAGTGGCAGGCCAACTTTGAGATATTCTTAAGAATTTTACTTACAGTCCATTGTTGAAATACTTACCATAACCTCTAAGGAGAGGCTTTCTTGTCATTTTCACCATTTTACAGGTACAGAAATAGAGATATAGAGCTCAAATAACTGTTCAAGCAAGTAAGTAGCAGAGCTGGAAATTAAGCTCAAGTTTCGTGATTCATAATCTAAAAGTCTAACTTTATAAAGTTTATTTTTCACATAAGCCCTCTGTCAAAGAAGCATACATGAAGGGAATGCTAAGCTTTCCCCTATTCTAAATGTTAAGTGATTCTCCAATGTTCATGTTTAATATATTTGGTTAGTAATGATCAATAAAGTTTTAGACAGCAAGAGCATGCATCTCAATCATTCTCATCATCTGTAAATGTTAACATTTAGGTCCTCCAGGTGTGGCCAAGGATCCCTTCTGTCCCTTCACATGCAGCTACTATAGAGGCATTGAACACTCTTGGGGACGATGACTACTCCTGGCAATGTGTCTAGAAGACATCTTCCACTACAAATACTGCTGAAGGAAGGTAGTGGTCATGGAGAGGTGAATGGCAAAGTTGTTGAAGAATGAGTGCTATAGTTGACAAACAGTTCTACACTGCTGGAACAACTGACTATAAAAGTTACAGCTGGCAAAAGGGAACCAGATGTAGCTTACTTAAGGGAGAATATCTCCTTCTCCATTGCAAGGCACTCTTGTAATAGTTTACAATGCTTTCTCTTTAAATAAAATTATTCCCAAAGGGGAAAACCAGAGTACATAGCACTATCTATAGCAAAATTATACCCAATTCATTAATTTTACAAGTATTTGAGTGTCTAATATGTTCTAAGTACTATCCAAGGTGCTAGGGATAAAGCAGTGAACAAAACAAAGTTCCTGCTTACACTGTAATAAATGCCCTCCCCTTCTGGGTTTCACGTCATCCTGTGCTTGACTCCAGTGAATCCTGGCATTACTCACTCTGTACATGCAGCTCCGTGGCCTTGGTCACCAAGGACATTAAATCGCAGGTTGTTTGCACAGCAGCTCGGAACCGATCTAGCCCTCCCTTCTGAGAGGTAGTGGCTAGTTTAGGATGGGGAGCAGTGTGCGCCAAAAGGTGATCTAAATAACGAGCAACTTCATCACCACAGTGAGCTGAAAGGTTAGTGGGGGGCGGGGGGTGAAAAGAAAAGAATGAACATTTTAGTTACATCACAATCTAACCCACCAAACAGAATGACCAGATTCTGTGACCACAACAGTACCAGAAGTAGGCTGTTTTAGCTCATGAGGAAAAAGTATGTGATCATTATATAATCTCATAGCTTTACCATCTAAAAACTATGGTCATTACCAGGACCCACTTGTTCTTCAACTTTTCTGAGACAATATTAGGGCCCTTGGAAGCAGTATGAGGTTAACATAGGAAAGATGGTGCAGACATTTCATATGCAAGCATATGATGATTATGGTGGTGATGGTGATAATGGAGAAGGAACAGAACAGGGCCCTTTGAATGTCACTGGTATGATGAGACTTTTGTGAGGAAGGGTAAAAATCTTCCACTAAACATTGAGACTAGCTGAAAACATATTCCACAAATGGCAAGCTATGACTGCTAACAACAACAACAAAATACAGTCTCCATGTGGCATTGGTGTTGAAAGGACTACTGGACACACATTCGTCTTTTTAGTCACCTCATTCATCTGTTCACCAAATATTTACTGCCTACTATGTACCAGGAGGTGTACTAGATGCTGAGGTTTCAACGGTGAAGAAGACAGGTGTGGTCCCTATTCTCTTCCACATATCTTCTACGGCATTACCTCTGGTTATGGATAATGGAAGCAAAAATAAACATATGCCCTATGGATGCTTAACATCTCAAACTTTACATGAACATTTGCAACATTTATAATTGGAAAAGCACAGTGTTTGGATCAATACTGAAGTCTACTAGGTCAGCCATGCATCAACTGTTTTTTAAATCATCTTTGGTGATCTCTAAGATGTCTTTCAGTGATTTGATGTGACTAATGGGAACTAAAAAAGCTGTAAAAATGGAACTCATACTCATTGATATCCTAATGGCAAAAATTTTAACCTTGAGTACAATCTAGATTCTTGGGTGGAGGATTCTAAAGAATATGGACTTGAAACGAATATAACTAATATAATATTGTATACCAACTATATTTTAAAAAAGAATATGGGGAGAAGTGCTTTCCTCATATAAGGGCTGGCAAGCAATAGACACATCCATTGTGAAACCACGGATGAGTAAATCCAGAGAGGGAAAAGTGACTCAGAATGCATATCAAATTCAGTGACACATATTATTAAAAACATGTTTTAGAAATTAATCTAAGCGAACGACTCCTACAGATGAAAATCACAATTACCCATGGAATAACAATCAACCTCAATATATTATCATTCTTGTCTGGTTTTCAAAATAGTTCAGCGTATGCCAAGCTAGATATCATGACTTTTGTTATTATTGATATTTGGAAATAACTTTATATTTAATGCAATTTCTCAACAAAGAAAATCACACTATTTTAGATCTTACAAAAACAATACAGAGTGAATAAATGGTACTTAAGTGAGTAAACGCTGAGCCCAAACAAGAAAACATTCATTCTTACTGCTAACATGTTGGTCTATTATATATGAGATTATGCATGCTACCTCATCAAGGAAAGCTAATTTATTTATTTTTTCTTTTCTCCAACATACCACTCTTAAAATAAAGAAACTGGCTGCCTTAATATATAGGCTAACAGTTAAATATCCAGACAATGAAAGCAGGCAAACCATGTTTTAGATAGATAGTTAGAAGAGTAATTTGCTCCTATTGCCCTTCTTTCTTTGGGATTCAAGCACTGTAATGCTTGCTCTGCCTAGGTCAGTATTTTAACACTTTAGGGTTCTTTATAGCCATTTTTAATGTATGCCCCCATGATGTTATCTCACTGTCATCTTAGTATTCCTAACAACTAGTTAGACTTTGTTGGGCCTTATTTGTCCAGTTTGTAATATAAAAGCAACATGCATACCGAATAGTTTTTTTTTTTCAAACTGTGAAGTCCTCCAGGAGATTCTGAAGTGCCTATATACTATTATATATAAAAAGCAATTTAATTTCATATTTTATATTTTAATGTCAAAAAGCAGTAGTGTATATGTATAGTTTTCTTACTACTGTATATACTTCACTAAATATCTCTCACTCATCACTGCTTCTTGTCACTAACCATGGAAATCACTAACCATTTTATATGTCCAGCAGAGAACTCTTCCGTAACCTTACTTAGTAAGGGATAGCTCAACTCCATACTCCACAATCACAACAGGGATATTAGTCCAGAAACCAAAGGTAAGTAGAGGATGAAAAGTAAAGCCAAACAAAAAGTAGGTGTATTTAGTAGGAGTAAGACTGCTGGCAGTGAGAAACATTAAGGAGGATAGTCAACAATACTTTGTATTCTTGTCCAGCAAGGCCAGTGCCTTTATGAAGCCTCCTTACCATTACTGGTTGAATCATAGCCATTCATCCAGTCACAGGATTCTAGCTCGCTATAGTTGTCATTGTAATCTTCACTGTACAGCTTACTTTCAGGTCTAGGGTCCATGAAGCTCAAATGTGTGCAGCAAGATGTTGTCAAAAACTCTGACAATTTACCTGTTTGAACCCTGACAATTAGAGGGTAAACAGAAAACAGGAAATCAGAGAAAATGCAACACAATTCAGTGAAAAAGGACACCCAGAATGTTGTATTGGGGGATTACTAATGTTTATACATTAGTATAAATTCTGTAAAAGTAAAATTTTACTGCACTCTTAGGCATGATGCATTATAGGTGATGGTACCATGTTAATAAAAACTACAATTATGAGTTCACAATCCACCAAATCAGTTTTGCTTTCTTTCACTGCTATGCTGCTCTTTTGAAAACTATGCCAAATATTTGGCCAACATTTCCATTTGGCTACCAGAGAAGCTAGGACAGAATAAAGAAAAATTATCACAAATCCATTACATCATTTTAAAAATACTCAAAAAGACCACTTTGAAAATAAAAAATGGTATTTGAAAATTTTATAAATTATAGTAGACTGTAAACCATATCCTCCCCTACTTATAAAGCCAATTGCAGAGACCAAAGGGAAAGTCAATAGTACTGATTTTCTAAAGAAGCCAGTTTGAAGGGCTTCCAATGGCCAAATCTTGTCTAATTTGAACATTGAAATAAATAATGACAGGAATGGAGGATGACATAATGAATAAAATAAAAATCCATGAATCTATGCTGACACTAAAACTACAAAATAAAAGGGGTAGGAGATAGCCGTTTTTTTAAGAGAAAGTTTCCAAATAGTAAATATACACACACGGAATGATAGAAACACAGAATCATCATTTTACAACTCCACTAATAATGACTGATTATCAATTGAAGGTAAGACTATTTGGTGAAGGACTGTTGGACAAAGGATATGGAAAAACCTGACAGATACCACTTTAACCAAATTGAGAGGCATTCTGCAAAATAACTGACCTTCCTTCTTCAAAACTGTAATGAAAACTGTCATGAAAGGCTAACAAAAGACTAGGGAATTGTTACACATTAAAAGACATTGCCCTGGCCAGGTAGCTCAGTTGGTTAGAGCGTTGTCCAAATACACCAAGGTTCAGGTTCAATCCCCAGTTTGGGCACATACAAGAATCAGGCAATGAATGCATAAATAAGTGGAACAACAAATTGTTCTCTCTCTCTCTCTCTCTCAAAAAAAAAAAAAAAAAAAAAGTATTAAGGGATATAATCACTAAATGCCAATGTGTGATCTTTGATTGGATCCTGGAGTGGGGGGAAAAAAGCTATGGGAAAATATTATTGGGACAAATTGAGAATTTTGAATATGAGCTCTGTATTAGACAATAGAGTTTTATCAGTCATAATTTTTCTGAGTTTAATGATTACAAAGCAGTTATGTATGAAAACACTCTTGTTCTTAGAGACAGAAACTGAAGTATTTAGGGAAGAAGAGTTGTGATACTTCTGGCTAACTTTCACATAGTTCAGCAAAAAATGTCTCTGTGTGTGTGTGTGTGTGTGTGTGTGTGTGTGTGTGAGTATGCTTACACATATGTATGTGTGACAGAGGGAGGAGGGTAGGGAAGAAGAGAGGGAGGGAGGAGTGGAAGGAAGGGAAGAGGGGGAAAGAGATTTTCCATATGATTTCTGTTAGCTTGAAATTTCTCAAAATAAAAACTTAGGGGAAAAAAGAAAAGAAAAGCAGCCAGAATTGAATAGTCCAGCAACCTTTTTTATTCTTTAATAATAAGTTTCTTATCCATTGAATTTGTTAAGATAACTAGGCAAAGGTGAGGATGAGGAACAATTCCAGTGCTTCTCTATAACACTAAGTTCTGTCATTCAATCTATCAAATATAAGCTTCTCTGAATACGATGAGATTGTTGTTAAAGATACACAGAAAGAATATGCTAAGTGAAATAAGTCAGACAGAAAAAGTTAAGAACCATATGATTTCACTCATATGTGGAAATAAAACTGAAAGCAACAAATGAACAAACAAGAAAAACAAACAAAACAAGAACTCATAGACACAGACCACAGTATGGTGGTTACCAGAGGGGTAAAGGGGTGGGGCTTACTAAAGGGTAAAGGGGGTCAAATATGTGGTGACAGAAGGAGATTTGACTTTGGGTGTTGGGCACACAATGTAGTATACAGATGATGTATATAGAACTGTACACTTGAAACCTATATAATCTTATTAACCAATGTCACCCCAATAAATTTAACATAAAAACCCAGCTATAAAAAATGATACACAGAGAGGTATAACAAGTCTATGACTACTGTACCCAGCTTCCAAATTTCACTTCATTTCACTAAAGAGATGTAGAGGTCACTTACCTTGCCCCACCAAAATAGCCATCCTGCATTTTTCGGAGTGCTGCCAGGATACTTGAATTCAAGCTGGTTCCATCTTCATCTTGAAGAGAATTTAAAAACAATCTTTTTGGTTTTAACTTTTAAATAAGGGGGATCTTTCAATTATTTCAAACCAATAGTCTGGTGAGGATGGTACAAATGAGACACTCCTCATTGACCACCCTGTATTTCAACAGTTCATCTGAGAGCCAACAGTACTGCAGAATGGGCACTTGCTAAGGGATGATGACCAATGGACAGAGTTCCTCAAAGATAGTCTGTATCCTATTTATCATAAACACTTAGCACAGAGCCCAATGGCAGAACACTTGACTACTGAATGCTGACAATAATAACAGTAACCATTCATTGAATGTTATATGCCAAGCACTGTGCTAAATATTTTATATAATATTATGCCATCTAATGAGCCTTGGTTTATGTATGTAGGCATAAAAATATTTAGAAGGCTAACAATTATCTGATTTATGTTAAGGAGTTAATACTACACATATTTTTTATGATCCATTTTTTTCTAACTTATCCTTTGTAAAAACTAAAAATTATTCCATAGCAGATATTTAGACTGTTTTTTGCATTACAAGCACACAGTGATGAAGATCATTGCACCTACATCTATATGCACTTACTCTATTATCTCCTTAGGGGAAATTCTTACAAGTAGAACTGTTAGGACAAAGGGAACACTTACAAAATATTTATAGAGATTGCCAAATTGCCCACTAAAAAAGTCGAGTCAATTATATTTCCATCATCAGTATAGGAAGTGACTGTATCCCCACACCTTTAATAACAATAGGCATTAATAATCTTTTAAATCTTTGTTTATCTAATGCATTAAAAAAAGATATTGTTTTAATTTTATTACTAGTAAGATTGAGCATGTTTTCAAGTATATGCTGACCATTTCTATTTCTTTTATGAATTGCTTGTTCATGTCCTTTCCCCACGTTTCTATTAAATAATTTATCTTTTTTTCAATCAACTTTGAAGGGCTCCATACATACATTTTGTGAATATCACCCTTTTTTTCTATCATATGTATGGCAAATCCTTTATTGTCTACTTTATTGTCTTTCAACCTCAACCACAGTTCATTTTTGTATAAAAATTTTATTTAAATTTTTGTGTTTTAAAATTTGTTGATCTTTCCTTTTTGTGTCTTTTTGTGTCTTACAAAGGGCAGCTTTCTTCAGTCCAAGATCACAAAAACATTCTCCCATATTTTCTTCTTTCATATGTGTCTTTGCTTAGCTTTTAAATATATTCAGAATTTAATTTTTCATAAAATGTAAAGTAGCAGACCTAAATAAATTATTTCCCCAAATGTATTTATTATATTCTTTTGCCTCCACAGTAGTTCCTCCTTATCTGCAGGAAATATGTTCCAAGACCCCAGTGGATGCCTATATATAGTATCAAACCCTATAGATACCATGTTTTTCCCCTATACATGCATACTTATGATAAAGTTTAATTTATAAATTATACGAGAGATTAACAATAATAATACTAAAATAGAACAATTATAACTATACAATGTAATAAAAGTTATGTGAATGTGGTCTCTCTCTCTCTCAAAATATCTGATAACTGCTATGGTTACTAAGTAACTAAGGAGTGGGTAGCATTGGATATGCTGGACAAAGGAATGATTCACGTTCCAAGCAGGACCGAGCGAGATAGCCTGAGATTTCATCACACTACTCAGAATGGTGCACAATTTAAAACTTATGAATTATTTATTGCCCTGGCGGGGTGGCTCAGTTGGTTAAGTATCATCCTGTACACCAAAAGGTTGCAGGTTCAACTCCCAGGCACATACCTAGGTTGTGAGTTTGATCCCAGGTCAGGGTACATACAGGAGGCAATCAATGTTTCTCTCTCACATAGATGTTTCTTCCTCCCTCTCCCTTTCTCCCTTTCTTTCTCCCTCTCTCCCTCTCTAAAATCAATAAACATATCATCAGGTAAGGATAAAAAGATTTATAAATTATTTATTTCTGAAATTTTTAATATTTTTGGGCCATGGTTGACTGCATGTAACTGAAGCCATTGAAAGCAAAGCTGTAGATAAGGTGGGGACCACAGTATTTGGATTGCTATCATATGAATGCTTTAATTTTGACGGATCTATATTCTCTTATTGTTTTCAGTTTTTAAAAAGTCTGGGTATTCTTGTACATTTTCATTTCCACATGAAATTTAGATTCCGTTTGTTCATATAAATTTGTGTTTTTATTTTGGTTTGAAACTGCACTGGATTGATAGATTAATTTAATAAGAATGGACATCCTCTCAATATTAACCATTTCCATCTAGCAACGTGGTAGTTTTTCTCTCTAGTAATTAAAATCTTCTATTTGCTCTTCATTAGTTTTATAATTTTCTCACAAAGTTTCATGCATGTTTCTTAAGCTTATTCTTATATTACTTACTTGTCTAAAAAATTTTTCAATTTTATCTAGATTTACAAATTGTAATTGGTATTCTTTTATAATTTTTATAGTTTCCTCCATTTCTGTTGTTATATTACCATTCTCATTCCTAATGTTTTCATTATGTTTTCTCCTCTTTACTCTGAAGTCTACTTTGCCAAATATTAACAAAACCACTACTGAATTTTAAAAATTAATTTTACATGGTATATCTTTTCCCATTCTTTTCATTTCAGTTTACCTATATTGTTATATATGAAGTGAATTTCATGGAGACAGTATATATGTGGGTCATTTTTTAACCTACTCTGCCCATCTCAGTCTTTTAATTGGTGTATTTAATTTTTCATTTATAGTTAATGTAATTGTTGATATATTCGGGTTAAGTCTGACATTTTACTTATTGTTTTCTGTTTGTTTCTCTGCTCTTCATTTCTCTATTTTCTTCTTCCTGCCTTCCAAAACACCTACAAGAATTCCATTTTGATTTATCTATGTGTTTTTTATGACACATTTTAAAAATAACTGTGTAATAGACCGTGGTGTGGACTTGTCTAATTAAAATTTTATTGAAGTACAGTTGGCACACAATATTATATTAGTTTCAAGTGTGCATTTATATACCTTACAATATTATCACCTTCTGTCACTGTGCAGTTATTATGATATTATTGGCTATATTCCCTGTTCTGTAAACTACATCCCTGTGTCTTATTTTATAATTGGAAGTTTGTTCCTTTTATTCCCCTTTACTCATCCCTCTGCCCTCTTATCCCCTGGAAACCATCAGTTTGTTCTCTGTATCTGTAAGTCTGTTCTCTTTTATCTATAGTCTTTTTAACTTTATCTCCATGTACAAATTTCTTAGTGGTTACTCTAGGTATTACATTATACATATAAACATGCATTATACATACATCGCTGTCTAATAGTATCAATGTTAAAGTGATATCTAGAAACCTTACCTCCCTTTCAGTCCCTTACCTTCATCTGTTTATAATATAATTGCCTTAAAGATTTCCTCTAAATACTTTGAGAGCCACATTAGACAGTGTTACAATTTTTGTTACAACTGTCAAAACTGAAGCGGAGAATATCTACTGTATTTACCCATATTCTTACTCTTTACACTATTCTTTTTTCTTTCTGGATGTTTCAATATTCTATCTTATTTCCTTTTCATTTCAAGAACTTCCTTTAAGCCATTCTTTTAGGACACATTTACTGTAGACAAATTCATTGAGTTTTCCTTCATCTGAGAATGTATTTTCCCCTTTATTCTTGAAGTACATTTTTGCTGGATTTAGAACTCTTAGTCTTTAATTCCTTTCTTTCAGCACTTGAAAAATGTTGTTCCGCTTCTCCATTTTCTCTAGGGTTTTTAATTAGAAACTTGCTGTCATTCAAATTGTTTTTCCCATATGGGCAAAAGATAATTTCTCTATTACTACTTTTAAGATTTAATCTTTTTGTTTAATTTTCAGAAGTTTGATTATTATGTGTGTTTTGGCATGAGTTTCTTTGGGTTTATCCTGTTTGGGGCTTTCACAGTTTTTTGAATCTCCAGCTTTATGCCTTTTGACTATTTTTCAGTCATTATTAATTGGAATACTTTTTCAGGCCCATATTCTTTTCTCTCTCCTTCTGGGACTCTTATAATGTAACTGTTAGATCTTTTATTATTAGTTCCACAGCTCCCTGAGGCTCTGTTCATATTTCTTCAATATATTTTTACTCTTGTTCAGAATTGGTCATCTCTATAGTTCTGCCTTCAAGTTCACTCTATCATTTTAATTCTGCTATTGAGCCTATGTAGTGAAATTTTCACTTCAGTTATGAAATGTAGTTTTCAGTTCTAAAACTTTCATTTCATTCGTTATATCTTCAATTTCTTTGCTGAGACTTCCTACTTTCAAATTTCAAGGGTGGCCATAATTGCTTGTAAAGTATTTTTTATGATGATTGCCTTAAAATCTTTGTCATAATTCTAACATCTTTGTTATCTTGGATTGGTGTCTGTCGATCACGTTTTTTTCATTGAAGTTGAGATTTTCTTGGACATTGATGTGAGTGATTTTCTATTGTATTCTCCAAATTTGGGCTGTCATCTTATGAGATTCTGGATCTTCCCGAATCTTCTGATTCAGCAGGTCTCCTCTCACACTGTACAGCAAGGAAGGGAGCACTATCTTGTTATTGCTAGATGGGTGTGAAAGGAGTTCCTTTACTGTTGGATAAGTATGAATACCTAAGCTCTCACTAGCACTTCTTGACCACCACCCCTAAGGAGGGAAATAGATGAATGTTTCTTCACAACTATGTGAAGGTAGAAGTCTAGGATCCCCGCTCAGCCTCTGATGACGGGTAGCAGTGGGGCTGAAGTTTTTTTCTGTAGTCTTTGGATCGAGGAGAACAGCTATTGACTAAAAGTTTTCTGTTTGGCTAGGCTGCCCTTTTCCTGTTCCATTGGCTAGAGGAATAAAGTTTTTTTGGGGCCTTTAAAAAAAAATCAGTACCCACTGGTAGAATAGCTTCTCCAGCACAGAGTCCAGGATATATTAGGCAGAAGGAAAACCCAGTAAACTTCTCAGGTGCAAGCTCC